CCAACACCCAGGACCATTACAAGCGTTCATCTCCCACATTGGAGGCCAGGAAGTCCGTACTACTCCTTGCAGCTAGGTTGAAGGTTGCATTCGAGGATCTTGGTGTTGACATTGTTGACATCAATCAAGGATTCCAAACATGGCTCACATTTACTGCGTCTTCGTTGATTTCAAATGCATCGTTGGCGTATGGGGAGCACTTGATGAAATCTCTATCTCACATGGGAGGAGTCAGAATTTCGAAGAGGCAAGCTCTGGAAATTTTCCGGAACGGACGCGGCAAGCAATTCAGCATATATCGAGAAAGAGTTTTCGATGATGTTGCAAAGAAGTGGCTTTTGATCTATAGAGTCACAAAGGATTGCGGAAATGTCGCATACAAAGACTTCTTCGAGAAGGTTGCCGTTCCCGAGGTGAAGGAGAGGAACGAGATTTTTGGATTCTCCCGTGCATCTGCCGAGAAAACTGGAGATATCATCGAGTTCTGGCTTGGTGTCTTGGACGTGGCCAATATGGCCAAGGGAGTCGTAGATGTTTTCAATGCTAGTGTTGATCCAGCTGAGTATCTCAATGGATTGGAAAAGGCACTGGCTCAATTTACATCGACCTCCCGAACCTCGAGCACCATCAATGACAAGAGACGGGGATCCTTCGACTGCACACTGCAAACTGCAGAAGCCGAAAGGGTCATGAAGCTCATCCACGCAATCCCCGGATATGATTCGCTGGCCAATTTCTGCTGCCTCACGGACTGGGAGAAGGATCAGGTATTCTCTCATTATCGCAGGAAGAACAACATCACAGGGGGTGACGCCAACATGGGCACTGATGCCGATGCCAAGCCAGGTGACGAGTCGTCGGCTCACCCTGGGGAGGAGGAAGCTGATGAGCCAGCGAACGACCCCACCGATGTGGTCAGGGACTCAGAGAATTCCGGGAAACAACAACTTTTGGATGCGTTGGGAAAACTCTTCACCGTCTCTGAGGATGTCAACGTGTGCTTGTATTGTGGTAGCACCCAACATGGCCATCTTGAATGTGATCATGAGAAGAGGGATGAAGTCAGAAAAGTGCTAAAGGCCGTCCGAGCGTCGCTCGAGGCTGATAGTCCAACATCTGATGACGTCGATATGGAGCCTCCTGAGCACAAGAAGGACGGTTCAGGTGCTACTGATGGGTCGGGGCAAACGGATGAACCTACAAAATCGAGGTTTGGTGAACACCAATGGTACGACAGCATCAGAACTATGTCTGAAGTTGGTGACCTCGATGAGTATGGCAGATTCTGCATAGAAGGACGTGATGTTACAAAGCTAGGACCACAGAACATTGTTGACCTCAACGAAGTGGTCAGAGACGCTATTGTCAGAGGAGGAGGTGACTCTTGGTCAGTGCCAGACTTTATGGCAAGCTACTCTGATAACAACATCAGGAAGCCCTTCTACAAGAGAGTCGAGGCGCCGCAAGATGGTTTCTTGAAAATCATCCCGACCACGGGGGCCCATTTCTTCAACTGCTCTTACTTTGGCGGTGTAGAATATGCGGCCAACTACCGATTCGAGACTGGCAACCGACTCAATACCTACGAGGACAAGGTGAGTACATCACTAAACAGGATCCTGCGGCACAATGTGGGGAAGGTATCAGAACAACAGAGTTTGTCATGTGATGACGCCGGCTGGGTGCCCATAGAGGAGGTGCTCAAATGCGAGTCTATCTGGAGGCACGAGTACGCACGCTGGCCACATGTATTCCTTGCTCCAAAAGGGAGAGCAAATGATCAGAGTGCATGGAATGTCGATGAGGCAAACTACCGCATGACGTTGCTCTTCAAGATCATGTTCCACTGTGCCCGGTATGGACGTCGTGTTCGTGAACAAGTCTTGGCATTTGGTATCAACAAGGACATCGAGCGCACCAGCCTGACGTGCATTGACAACAAAGTCGATGCGAACACGAACATTCCTGATGAAGGTCTACTGCTCTACCCTGTGGCGGTCCGTGCTCCTACGGGGCACAAGGAAGGATCTTCAAGGGACGACGTCTCATTGCTGTCCTCATTACTTTCACATCCAATCGCGCCCAACACCATTTTGTCGTTACCGGTTTGTTTCCACATCACCAAGAAGACCAACCTTCGAAGCATTTGGAGGCAGGGATTAATTCCAGGAGGTCTTGGAGAAGGTCATCGGATGTTCACGTTCTTCAACCCGTATGTGCCATGGGATCACAGATCATGGACTATCACGAAGAGCGTTGATACGCGAAAGGGGGACTACATTTGCTTGTTCATCCCGACCGAGACCTTGATGGTGGAATATGGCGGTCGACTGACTGACTCGGGACAGATCGTCTCACCAAAGATCATCCCGTTCTCGGCAATCAAAGGAGGATGGATTCAGGACCCAAAGGACCAAAACAATAAGACATGGCTCCGGTTGTTCGTCCCGTCGGGCGACGACCAGGTAGTCCGGTCTGGAACTGTCAAATCAAGAACGGTAGCCACCAAGGAGTCCATCTTGAGGGTTGCAAGTCAATGCATCGACGCCGAAGATCAACCGTTTGACGAAACCGCCATGGATGCCATGAACATCGTCAACCAATTCAAGAACGACCTCATCAAGCCTGGCGGACAAGAACAATACCTGGCCCGCATCAAGCTGATTGACTACATAGTCGAACGCAAAAGGGTGCAAACATCAGGTTGCCGCCATTGTCCTCACTGTCTCAATGAGACGCCGACAAAACTAGCAGTGTGTCTAGTTTTCTGGACGGAACTGGAAAGTTGTGGAATCCGTCCCTATCGGCTACAAGCTCCTGAAGACGATGAAGATGAGGCCACGAAGAAAGAGATCGATGAAGAGGTTCGTCGACAAGAAGAATCATTGTTCAAGGATACGGTCCATCAAGCACAAGAAAACGTATCCGAATCCAACGACTATGGCTTCAATCCCGACGAGGTCGACTACAACGAAGGCGATGATGAAGAAATGGATCAGGAGGAGGAAGCCCAACAGGAAGACGACGAAATCGTTGAAGAAGACGAAGATGAAATGGAAGTCGAACCTGAAGATGAATCCTCTTCCAAACTTCCAGCATGGACCAAGAACCTCGAGAGCGGCAGCAAGGGTATGCCAGAAGACGGACTTATCAACAATGATGTCTCCGAGGCCGCGGCTCACTTGTATGACAATGCTGTCATGTCAAAGGTCATCACAATGTTCAGGCTCTACTACAAACAGAGAGTCACTCTGACCCCAGAGGAGTACTATGAGATGATGACGGAAACCAAGCGAGTCCGGCTGGACCTGGACGACTTCTGTCCTTATACAGGAGAAGACCAGGATGGCAACCTCAAGCGACCGACGGAGCTGGAATTGGATGAACTCTTTCAGCAGAAAGGGAAGAGGAATTCATGGTCAGAAGGAGAGAAGTTATACTCAGGGCGACCAAGAAACATGATGATGCCTGTCATCAAGACTTTGGAAATCTATGAGAAGATGATGGAATTTCTGGTACGCGCTGGGTACACTCCTGAGTCATTAGGCTTTCTCATGCCAATGAACCGAATGCAGGCTGATGCCCAAGGGAAACAGGAGATGCGAGTAACCATCAGCAATTTCCTTCGACGACTGCTCAAAGGAACCTTTCCGGAGCACGAGTCATACACCTTCTTTCGCTCCGGGAGCCACGGCTTCCCCAACTGCATCGAACTCCCAGCTTTCTCGGTATATCTGAGCCTGAGGGAGAAAGAACAGAGAGTAGAACTGCTCTTTGCAGCCCAACAGTGTGGCATTCCTCTACCTCAAAACTTTGTCAGCAAGATGGCTTATGCTATTCAGCTGGCCGAGGCCGAGGCGCAGAGGGGAAAGACCGAGATGAAAGCGAAGATGGCTCCAACCCTTGGCGACGAAGTGGTGAGTGAAGTATTCAAAGCGGTTGGACATACTGCAGCTTCCAAGTTTGCTAAACCAACTGCGCAACCTTCACAGACACCTGAAGGCACTGGTTCAGCATCATCCTCATCGGCTAATGCACCAAAGGGCAAGGCTATGCCGAAATCCCATGAACCATCAAAGGCACCGCCTGCAAAGCCTTCATCGCCGAAAGCTGCTCCGAAACGTGCGGCAGGATGGGAGAGAACTCCAACAGCACCTCAATGGAAGAAAGTCCGCCGTGAGCAGTAAACCAATTGCTTCGATCCGTCAAAATGATCACTGGGCTACAAGATGTTTACCGTCTTTATGAACAGATGATCTGGAAAAGACCAACTGAGTGGACACTGAGCGAGGCATTAGACTAATTCGCTTAGGTTCAAGACTTTTGATATTCCCAATCTGCACGAGATTCTGCATTGTGCACGTGAATTCGTTAGTTAGCATTGTAAATCTTTGGTAGCGAGGCGATCCATTTCTCCCGACGGGTGAGTGGCATGCTTAGCCAACGTAGAAAAGTAGATGTTAGCTAGCAATAATTCGCGTTGTATAGCTTGAGGAAGCGCCGATGCATCGACAGCCAAAGAGTAGGTGAACCCTGAACCATTATACCCGACGGGTATGTGGGGAAGGGGGATCCGAATGGCACGTTTTATGTACATAGGCGTAATTCGAGCAGCAGAAGGACTTAATTCAAAGTTCCCACTCTCGTGCCTACGGTTCGAAGATGCCGTAGGCATGGGGGGCGCGAAAGGGAACCAGGTAACACAGCAACTGCACATGCTGAGCATGTAAACAATTATGCATGGACTGCCAATCATTTGGCTCAAGTCATGCGCGAGGAAAAAGACCGTTCTCCGAACGCCATGCAGTGACGTTGCCCTGCACTACCAGCACAACCGGTACTACAATCAAAAGGGATAATCCAGAACAAGGATCAAATTTGTTCACAGTATGTGTATATAAAAATATATATATATGTATATATATATATTATAAACAAATATTTATATTTAATATGTTATATGTATATATATATATTGGCAAGTCTCTTGGAGAAGCCAGGAGTTCTGCCCGCAGCTAAACTGAGTGAGCTTAAGCCGGAGATGGTGCTGGAGAAAAAGGTAGTTAGACCTGTGTAGTCGTGTTGACATGCTTAAGCAATGGACAGGTGGACAGGTTGACCTGCAAAAGGAGTGATTTGGTCAATACCCGAGATTTGTAGCTTGTGAAGTCCATTTGGTTTCAGCTTTGAAAGTGAAATAATACTTTGAGCCTTTCTCATTTCTTGGAGCAGAAACATGTCCGGACAAGCGTTTAGATTTCACACTACCACAGTCAAATGTAATTGATTTTGCAGGAGCCTGGATATTTGAAGCCTCGCTAGTCAAAAACCTTCAGAAATCCAGATGAAGATTGTATGGAGACTCAAGTGAAACCATCTAAGAAAGCCGAAGAAAATAAAAGGAGTCAAAGCACAAAACATTACGAAGCTTCGAGAGCTGGCAGACGTAGCATCGCAGTGGAGAAGAGTTCTGTCGAGCTATGACAGTCGACCCCGTTGCCATGCTGGGGACCTGAGGGAGTTGGCAGAGGCAGGATCTTGGGGGATGGATGTTGGTCGAGGGATGTCGCAGTCTTTGCAAGGATCCCAACGTCATGTCCAATTGCAGAGTTTTTTTTTTCAAAAAAGAACGTTGTTTTTGATTTGTCTTAGCTACTGTACTACTGATTCTCGTGAAACACTTCTGTTGGCACCAGCGTTTTGCGCAGAACATGCAGATTGCCGCAGATTGGGATTTGCCACGTGCGATCCTTACTGTTTGGAAATCACGATGAAATAGTTTGTTTAAACAATCACTGCGCAATTTGCAGTCGATGGATTGATATGTGATTCGACCTTCGGACCTTCGGCTGAGCAGTCGGCAGTGGTTCAAGGTTTGGAAGATGGAAAGGGATTGTGCCATAGTTTGCAGCTTAGTTTGGAGGGGAGTATTTGCAAAGTCTTCGGTCGTGTCGCTTTAGGATTGTGCCAGTTGACCGAGAAGTTTCAAGGCAATTTTTACTTGTGAGAAACGCCTGTAAAATGGTGCCTCGGAGCAAGCCGCGTCGGCGCCAATAGTTATTGGCCTTTCTGAGGTTACTATCCACCTCTTCGTTTTCCTTGGATGGGCAGAGAAAATAGCTGGACTCTGAGTCTCTGAGTTTGGGCTGTGGGCAGCATGTGTTTGTGTCAGTTACAACCGTGCATTTCCTGCAATGCAGTCGCCTCTGGGATCTGGAGCCAAGCAGTCGATGTATGGGTGGAGTTTTTCTGAGCTGTTGCCCTGTTAGTGAGACCATGTGAGCATTTTCGAGGCCCTGGCAAAATGCCAGACAGGCTGGGAGATCTGTGTGGAAGCAGGATTTTTTTGTTGCAGTCTCATAAAGAATATAAAGAGAAGAAGTGCAACTTTCAAGACATCACTGCAGGAAACAGATTTCTTTCAATGTGAGTCGCCAGGGGGACAGTGCCCTTGGCGAACGGAGTGGATATGTTGAGGCGAGACTGGGTATAGTGCAACATGGTGTGAGACTGAGTGTTCCGATTGTGATGCTGAACCTTCAAACTAAGGACATCTTTCTCCCGGAGGAAACCATTTCTTGAAACCTTTAACCAGCCACTAGCCAATCAATACGCCATCAAAAAAATGCTTGAACATCTTGCAAAACACAGATCCTGTAAGCAATGATAGGAGATACTGGGCCAGCTGGTCGGAAGCTTCAGAAATAGGACAACTACGGGAGAAGGAACAAGTACAGGCAACTGACTGGTTGATTGATTGATGGAGACAGACAGGCGATCTCCGCTTCCCCAAGAAAACGGATTTGATGTGGCCAGGCTCCAACTGACTGGAAAGAATTGACACTGGTCAGTTTGTGCAGACAGAGCACTGCTTCAGTCAACTGCGGTCGAGCCAGTGATGAATTTGTGACAGACTGTGAGTTGCAGGCGACCTACGCCCAACAACAGCATGGACATGCTTAGGCCTTGAGTGCGATACTGTCACAAGAAATGTGACGGATACGTACAGGTTTTCATCTAAACAGCAGAACTTTGTGATGTTTTAAATGCCTGTGTATGAGTGCGGTAGTCTGTAGATGACCGAAGCCAGACTGCAGCCCATTTGTATACACGGTGTTTGCCAGGCGATCTCCGCTTCCCCAAGACAATGGATTTGATGCGGCGAGGCCCAATTGACTGCAGACAGAGCACTGCTTCAGTCAACTGCGGTCGAGTCAGTGATGAATTTGTGACAGACTGTGAGTGGCAGGCGACCTACGCCCAACGACAGCATGGACATGCTTGGGGGGGGTGGAGGGGTTTGGTGTGGTGTGGTGTTTGTTTGCCTTGGTGTTTGGGTGTGTGGGCGCTGTGGTTGTGTGGGGGGGGTATGGGGCTGGATGTTGTGATGTTGTGTTTAAAAGTTTATCATTTTTTTTTTCTTCTATTATTTTTTTTGTTTTTTTTTTTTGCCTTTTTTGTTTATTCTTTTTGTTTTCGTTTTTTTTTTTTGTTCTTTTGATTTTTGTTTTCGTTTTTGTTTTTTTTTTTGTTTGAGTAGTTTTTCTGTTTTTGGTCTTGTTTTTTTTGGTTGTTCTTTGTTTTTTTTGTGTTTACTGGTTCGTTGTTGTGTTCTTTTTTTCCTGGCTTTGTGTTAGTTTTTTTTTTGTTTTCTTTTTTTTTTGTTGGTTGTTTTTGTTTGTTTTTGTTTTTGTTTGGGTTTTCTTCGGTAATTCTTTTGTCGTGTGGGGTTCTTTTTTTTTCTGTCTTTCTTTTCTACTCTATTCTCAGGTTGTTTTTGGGTTTCTGTGTGCCTGGTCCTTGTTTTTAAGTTTTTGGTGGGGGGGGTTTGGGCACTTGAGTGCGATACTGTCACAATACATGTGACGGATTACGTACAGGTTTTCATCGAACAGCAGAACTTTGTATGTTTGAATGCCTGTGTATGAGGTGCGGTAGTCCTGTAGATGACCGAAGCCAGAACTGCACCCAGTTTTGTATACACGGGTGTTTTGCAGGCGATCTCCGCTTCCCCAAGACAATGGATTTGATGCGGCGAGGCCCAATTGACTGCAGACAGAGCACTGCTTCAGTCAACTGCGGTCGAGTCAGTGATGAATTTGTGACAGACTGTGAGTGGCAGGCGACCTACGCCCAACGACAGCATGGACATGCTTAGGCCTTGAGTGCGATACTGTCACAAGAAATGTGACGGATACGTACAGGTTTTCATCTAAACAGCAGAACTTTGTGATGTTTTAAATGCCTGTGTATGAGTGCGGTAGTCTGTAGATGACCGAAGCCAGACTGCAGCCCATTTGTATACACGGTGTTTGCCAGGCGATCTCCGCTTCCCCAAGACAATGGATTTGATGCGGCGAGGCCCAATTGACTGCAGACAGAGCACTGCTTCAGTCAACTGCGGTCGAGTCAGTGATGAATTTGTGACAGACTGTGAGTGGCAGGCGACCTACGCCCAACGACAGCATGGACATGCTTAGGCCTTGAGTGCTATACTGTCACAAGAAATGTGACGGATACGTACAGGTTTTCATCTAAACAGCAGAACTTTGTGATGTTTTAAATGCCTGTGTATGAGTGCGGTAGTCTGTAGATGACCGAAGCCAGACTGCAGCCCATTTGTATACACGGTGTTTGCCAGGCGATCTCCGCTTCCCCAAGACAATGGATTTGATGCGGCGAGGCCCAATTGACTGCAGACAGAGCACTGCTTCAGTCAACTGCGGTCGAGTCAGTGATGAATTTGTGACAGACTGTGAGTGGCAGGCGACCTACGCCCAACGACAGCATGGACATGCTTAGGCCTTGAGTGCGATACTGTCACAAGAATGTGACTGAGACGTACAGGTATTCATCTAAACACAGAACTTTGTGATTGTTTTAAATGCCTTGTGTATAGTGCGGTAGTCTGTAGATGAACCGAAGCCAGACTGCAGCCCATTTGTATACACGGTGTTTGGCCAGGCGATCTCCCGCTTCCCCAAGACAATTGATTTGATGCGGCGAGGCCCAATGACTGAGACAGAGCACTGCTTCAGTCAACTGCGTCGAGTCAGTGATGAATTGGGACAGACTGTGATGGCAGGCGCCTCGCCACGACAGCATTACTGCTTAGGCCTTGAGTCTAGAACTGTCACAAGAATGTGACGATACGTACAGTTTTCATCTAAACAGCAGAACTTTGTGATGTTTTAAATGCCTGTGTATGAGTGCGGTAGTCTGTAGATGACCGAAGCCAGACTGCAGCCCATTTGTATACACGGTGTTTGCCAGGCGATCTCCGCTTCCCCAAGACAATGGATTTGATGCGGCGAGGCCCAATTGACTGCAGACAGAGCACTGCTTCAGTCAACTGCGGTCGAGTCAGTGATGAATTTGTGACAGACTGTGAGTGGCAGGCGACCTACGCCCAACGACAGCATGGACATGCTTAGGCCTTGAGTGCGATACTGTCACAAGAAATGTGACGGATACGTACAGGTTTCATCTAAACAGCAGAACTTTGTGATGTTTTAAATGCCTGTGTATGAGTGCGGTAGTCTGTAGATGACCGAAGCCAGACTGCAGCCCATTTGTATACACGGTGTTTGCCAGGCGATCTCCGCTTCCCCAAGACAATGGATTTGATGCGGCGAGGCCCAATTGACTGCAGACAGAGCACTGCTTCAGTCAACTGCGGTCGAGTCAGTGATGAATTTGTGACAGACTGTGAGTGGCAGGCGACCTACGCCCAACGACAGCATGGACATGCTTAGGCCTTGAGTTAGATACAGGTACCTGAAAATTCCAAGTATGCAGAAGCCAAAAGTAGCAGGCTCTTTGCTGAATTCCACGAAGTCCCAACAGGAGCTTCGAATTATTGGCTGTCCCTGAACATCCCTGAACATCCCTGAACATCCCTGAACATCCCTGAACTGATAGGGCATGTGTGGTTTTCCACAAACTAGGCTTTTGGTCTTGCAGCTTTGGATTGTGAGGCCAAGCGGCTTCGACGCTGGAAGAGGGTGCCTGTCTTGGGCTAGAAGGTCAGAGAGCAACCCAATGCACGTATGGGAACTCCAATGGGAACTCCAAAAAAGACACTCTGAGGCAATGTCAGGATTGTGTGTAGTCTCCTGTCAACTCTACCGTAGGGTCTGGTGCAGGTCTACAGTAAAGGTACAAGATTTACAATCAGCTGAGTTGCAGCAATCTCGTTGCTCTCAAGGCAGCATTCCACAGGGTACAACCAAATGCCCCCAGCCGGTATCCTAGACAGTCTTAGACATGGCTTTCTGATTCTTCTTTCCTGCCATGCTCAAGGCAACGTTCTCTTGATTGCAGGGTATTTACTCCTTAGAGGCACTCTTGAACTCGACTTTCAAGGGATTATTTAAAGATATTTTAAGCATACCGTCAGAATGCTTAGGCTTACATTTCTCCCCTGACAGTCGACTTTAAGAGTTGTTGTTTCACCACTTGGCTTTCTATCTTGGCTGTGTGGATTCTTTTTTTCAAATTTGATTTCACGGCAGAGATTATTTTTACTCCTTTTACTCGCAAATGGATTTCCCTTCGTTGGCTCACTAGGCCAACTCATCTCTTGACTCGGACAGGGTCCGCCAGCATCCTTAGCCTATCTTAGCCTCAGAGCAAGAGTATGATGCAGTTGTGATCAATCTCAGCTTGTGAATACTTCTGAGTGTCAATGTAATTTGGAAAATACGTACCGAAACAGTGGTCGAAGTGAGGTACAGATAGTGCTGCTGTAAATGCAGGCGCTGCAAGAAACTGCCTGGAAGTCTTGAGAAGAGGAACACATCTAGCAAACTTATGGATCTTTGACTTCCATAGTAGTTGTCCGAAACATGTAAAGCTTGTGCCTGTGCAAGAATCCTTGGAAGACTGTCCAGCTTTCGGCATCTTGGATTACCCAGTCTTGCCAAACTTGTACTGTACCAATGGCAGCCTCAAATTCAATGATCGTTGCTGACTTTGGCTACCTGGAGACACACATTGTGTCACATGCCTGAGCTAATGAGATTTCATGGGTCCCAAGTTCTATGAAGCGGAGAATAGTGTAGATCACAGCAAAATGCAAAATGAAGGTTTCCTAAAATGAGGGTACCCCCCAAATCATCCATTTAATTTATAGATGGATTTTCTCTGATTTTCCCTTATAAACCATCAATTTTGAGGATCCCCTATTTAGGACCCCCCAAATGATCACAGTTCAATGATAGGTGCAATGCCAGAAGTGGATGTGGAGGTGAGCGGCGCAGGACTTGGTGGATGTGAACAGATTGTGAACGCAAAGGAAAGAACATAATAATTGATACAATATAATATTAATATTAATATAATATAATATAATATGATATAATATAATACAATATAATATGATATAATTAGTATATAAATGTATATGATAACATGTAATATCAATAATAATAGTTATGTTCCAAGATCTTCCATAGGGTTTCGATGTGATTTTGTAAAGGAAACTGTAGCCAGGTCCGTGGGACGGGGCCGCTTCCGGAAGCTTGGCGCAGCTGGCAGCAGGCCAGCAAAGGCAGCAAAGGGTATGGCAGTAACCATAGAATGTATGTTAGTAACTCCGAAATAAATGCACTATAAGCATCTATAAGCATCTATGAGCATCTATGAGCATCTATGAGAATCCGAAATACCACAAGTTGTCACAACGGCTTTACCTAAACCCAAGGGAGACTTCACATTCTCGTTTCCCTTTGATTCTTCGACCTGGATTCGAAACTGTCTCAAGTGTTGAAACCTTGTTATGAAGGTCACATTCCCACCTCGGGTGCGTGCTCCTTTGGTGTCGGCTGGCTTCCCTGCAGGGGACTTGGCACTGAGTGACATTTAAAGATGGTGACATTTCAAGAAAAGCGAAACATCCTGCTTTAACTTGGCACTTCCTGGTTTGGTGCCATTTTGAAATACTTCCTGAGCTCAGATCTGCCAGCAATTTGAAATGCTACCATGGATACAGAACCTCTGGCAGCTGGTCTGGGTTCTTTTGATTCCGGCTTCATGTTTTGAGTTCACACGTTTTTGGTCAGATTGCTATGTCAAGGCTCCCACGCCCATCCAGCAACATTCCTGGCCAATTCTCTCCGGAGGCACTGCTTTGGTGTAGAAAGCCAGTGGGGATAGAGTTGGACGTCCATACTTCCTTCCCGGCCACCGTAATCATTATAATTATATCATCTTTATATCTATGTTGGCCAGACCACCGCTATTCTAACTTTTTTAAAACTTGAAAAAAAAACGCGACAAAAGCAAAAAAAAGGAAAAAACAAAAAGCAAATCAGCAAAATCCAAAAAACACAAAAGCAAAATAAAAGGGGAAAAAAGGGAAAACAAAGGAAAGACAAAAAGGGAAAAAAAATGGATTTGTCCATTTGCATTTTTTTTGCGTTTATTTTGCTTTCTTGATTTGTTTTTTTGCTTTTATTGTTTTTTTTGGCTTTTTGCCTGGAAAAAAGCAAAATAAAAGCAAAAAAAAGCAAAAAACAAAAAAAAGCAAATCGAAAAAGCGAAACAAATGCAAACAAAATGCACATGGACAAATCCATATTTTGTTTCCATTGTTTTTCCCTTTTTGACGTTCCTTTTTTTCCCCATTTATTTTGCTTCGTTTTTTTTTCAGTTTTGAAGTTTTGCTTTTTGATTTTCCATGTGTTTTCCATTTTTTTGCATTTTTTCAAGTTTAAAAATCATTAGAATAAGCAATTGAGGTGAACATAACTTTATATATCTTTATTATACTTGGCGTCACTTTTCCCACTTTACTCCTTGCTTCGCTACTCTTGCAAAGGGAACGTTCATGTATCGATGCCGCAGCAGACGATCTGTTTGACGATTGTTGTGCTGCGGCAGGTCGAGATTTGATCGGCATCGCAAAGACAGGCAGAAGAACAAACAACCACAGTTGACCCAGAACAAGTGAATGATTTGGTGGAAATAGCCTCTTTGCATTGGATTTGCTTTCGACTTTGCGGAGCCTGCTTCTGACCACCTCTGACCATCTCTGACCATCTCTGACCATCTCTGACCATCTCTGACCCAGGTTCGGGAAAAACGTTGGCATTTCTGATGCCAATTTTTGCACAGTTGCTGGAAAGCAGGGCAGATCTCAGAGGCATGCTGCATGGTGCAGGCTGTAGGACTCTAGCAATATGGATATGCACGGAGAGGGTCCTGAAATAAACCAGAACTCTTTGTTTGTTCCTGTCTTGGATGTCAAATTTTACAAGATCAACTCTGACTCAAAATTCATCGAAATTCATCAAACACGTCTTTAGTTCAGAAGATTCTCTCACGGCCAAGAGGCCCACCTGCTGCTTTGGTTCTGGCTCCTACTCGTGCCTTGGCACTCCTTGGCCAAGACGTGGTCAATGTCAACATGACTCACGGAGGCTCACTAGGTCCAGGGTGAAAGCGCATTGGATATCTCTGTGCACATTTTCGGCAGCACATTCTTCATCAAGTCTGTTCATTCATGTTTATTCATGTTTATTCAAAATTATTCATGTTTATTCTATGCAGCAGAAGATAACTGGACGCACTCCAAATCCAAAGTTGCAAGATCACGATGTTGCCTAGAGCACGTTGAAACCTAAGCTTTTCAACAGTCACAGATAATGCGCATCTGTATGCTGAAATCACGCCACGTTTGTTTTGCGCAAAAGTTTTCTTCAACCTTGATCAACCTGAGGGGAGCTGGCAGTCCAGATCGAAAGTGAGGCACGGAAACAGCACGAAAAAAGCACCGATTTTTTTCACACCTCTAACAAGCTGTCAAACCCTTGCAAAGCTCGGGCTTCATCTGATCATAAACATGTGTTTTTCTTTCCAAGAGTCGTGGACTTGTGGACTGCTTGAAATGCAAACCTGGGAGTCATCTTGGTTTGCTATGCAGTATTATTATGTATTATTGATTATGATGCATTATGAGTTGCTCAGAGCAAATCATTTTGCTCGCACTGAAGGCCAAGCGCTTTGGTGAGACTGCAGGGATGCGAGCAGCGTGCCTTTATGGCGGGGCACCAAAAGGGCCGCAACTAGCAGAACTTCGGCAGAGGCCAGGACCGAAGTTTTGGGTCCGAGGATGGGTCTAATTCCAAGGCCTGTGGCCTATGCCGTCATAGAAAGAGGACAACGATGGGCAACCATGGGGAAAGAGACTCAAAGATCACGAGATGCTCTGCAGATGCACTGGACGTTCATTCAGATGTTCTGGATGTTCCTATGAAGTCATGAAACATGGTGGACATAGTGGACATAGTGGACATAGTGGACATAGTTGACATAGTACTTTGAAGCTTTTGAGGCCGCAGCTTCTTGTTGCAACTCCTGGTCGTTTGAATGATCTGCTCGAACCACCTGCAGGCAGGTCTGGGCAAAGGTCGATTTGAAGCATGTCTTGACCCAAAGACCCCAGCTGATTATTAGTTGAATCTGTTGCCTCGACTGGGTGTAAAGATCGTTTTCAGCAATGATATCGCAAGATATGCACATTGTGAGAATATGTGTATACACACCTAGGCCACACGTGTATGTGTGTGTGTATATAATATATATATAGATATATATATATATAATCTGTATTATGTATATAGATACATGATATATGTATATAGATATGTAGATATATGCGTAAACGGTTAGAATATGTAGGTACATGTAATGTAGATGTGAAGATGTAGGTTTTGTTTTTTGCTGCATGTCTTCGCCAAGCTCACGTTCCAGTTGTATTACTTACATTTGTTTGCATTGTATGATTTACTTTCTTCAATTTCTCATTTCTTCAATCGTAGCCTGAAACAGACAATATGATACCATGCATGAACCGAAACAGAGATATCGAGGTTTGCATTTTGACTGTTTTCAACATGCCAGCCTGTCAATACCGGATATGAGCTTCGCGTGGGAGACTTCATTGATGTGAGAAGCTCTTAGATTGAATGAATATGTTGTTCTAAGAATCATTTCGATGTGCAGATGTAGGTTTGTCAGTCGCAGTCGACGTGAAATCTGTACGCTACCTCGTTCTGGACGAAGCTGACTCTTGGCCAATGTTTGGCTATGTTCGGATCCGACACTCAAATTTGGGGGTTAAAAACATGTAAAAAACACTGATTCCTGCAGATTTTCCCTCAAACTGAAAAAACATGTGTCGTTGGGGTCTGTTTGATGCACAGCATGGCCACAACATTTGGGCATTTCAGAAGATTTTGTTTCAAAAGCAAGAGCAGATTAAGATGGTATAGCAAACATAAAGTTCCAGACCTAGTGCAACAACTAAAGGCCGTAAAGATTCAAAAATTCTGTCATGCCTGTCAGGATCGAATGCTTGATATGGGCTTCGAACCCCAAATCCGCAAGATCATCTCCGGATTACCCAAGGACAGCATGCACCATCCCATTGCAAAGCAAATGAAGCAGCCCTGTATGTCTTTCTTTGTTTTTCTTGTTATAAGTTGAAGTGACATCTGGATGACATGTGGAAGGAACGTCAGACTGTGATGTTCACCGCCACCTGGCCACTGAGCATTCGCCGATTGGCCGCTGACTTCCTTCAGAATCCTGTGGAAGTCCGTGCCGGAGAGGTCGACGAGCTGCGAGCCTCTCAAGCAGCATTAAGCTCAAGATACACAAACGATTGAATGACGGCGAAAGTACGAATCGCATCAAGCAGATAGAGAATAAACGAATCAAATTGCATCCCTACCAGAAAAGATCGGGAAAAATCAAGCAAAATAAACAAAGCGGGTTTGGTGGATAGATGTGATGATGTGGATAGGTCAACGCAAGATCTCTCCTGGTTGAGGTCAATGCTGACATCACCCAGCAGGTCGTGTTCTGCTCTGAAGCTAGGCCCAGCTAGGCTTTCTTTGAATATCTTAGCTTTGAGAAATTGACAGGGCATGAAGAGATACGTGAGATATACAGTAGGAAAAAGAGAGGCAGGAAGTAGCAGTATACACATGTATACACATGTATACAGATAAACATTGACAACAGTGCGCATAAGATCCGGCAGCTGCTTCATGATGTGTTTAGCTTACATTAACCCAGGACATGCGGCAGAAAGAGGAGTGTTTGGACAAGATCTTGCGGGAAAGCGGTCAGGATCAGTGCATCGTCTTCGTGAACACAAAGCGCATGTGCAACTCAATCAAAGAATTATTAAAGTGCGGAAATAATTGAAATAGTCGGAAACAATGGAAACATGCAGCAGAAGCTCAAAGTAACGTTTTGGCCAAAGGCCGCCTTCAGGACACAGAGGTCTGGTCTGAAGCAAGGAGGCTCACTCAAGAGTGAAGGAACGCGCCCTGCGTGTGTTCAATATCATTAAATCTACACTCCTGATCAAAAAGGAAGAAATGCAAACGCTAATCTTGGAATTTGAAGATGTCTCACGCTTGCCTTTCACATTGTACACACTGTGCTTCGCTGCCGCCACATCATCAGATGGGCGTGACATTTGATTTTCGGATCTAAGGTGAGGTTGTTTCGCTGCGGACACCCAACAGCATGGCAATCCACGGTGACAAGGACTTGAAACATGATGAACGCATCCGAACAACTTCTTGATTCTATATTGATGGAGTCCTCTTCCACAGTGCCGATCCTGCCGAACCGGGCATTGTATTTAGGGGAATCCCACATTTCTATACAGTTCTCAAGATTCTCGGTCAGTTCACTAAATCCAGACTGCAACGATGACAACGAAATGTTTTAATAACATTTTAGTTTTCATGCTTTTCATTTCAGTTTCACAGTATGCTTTTGTTGTATGCTTTGTGAACTGATGAAACTGCGAGACCGAGGACCAAAGAGAGAGAGACTTGGCGCTCGGGCACTTCAAGTCTGGGAGCACACGCACGTTGGTGGCCACCGATGTGGCAGCCAGGGGGCTGGACATCAAGGCCACGCTCGGGACAGAAGAAACAGAAACACGTAGAAACCATAGATGCAGATAGAATCATATATATATATAATAATAATAATAATTATTATTACTATTAGTATTAGTATTATTATTATTATTAATGTCATTATTATTATTAATGTTATTATTATTATTATATATTAATGAATAATATATAATGAAATTTATAATGATAATAAATTAAAGATGCAGGACATATAGTGACTTGATCAGTCCAGTCAGTCTTGGGCCCTCTGCGGAGTTATTGCCGTCGGAGGTAGTTTGACCAACTTCCAAGCTGAAGACACATGCAATCACTCAATCCTTCCCACTTGCTGGCTGCTACTGGCTGCCAGTGCTTGTTTGGCACTGCTAGGGTGTTTTTTTGCCTCGGGGTACAAAACGACTTGAAGCAGCCGGGTAAACTCGCACAACAAACTTATACACGGGGTCGCTTGCTCAAACAGCTAGAATCCTGACTTCCGCCCAAACCAAAACAGACTTGCCACACTCTCCGGTGCTGAAACCAAACAAAGAGTGCTTCGCATGTCCTTTGCCAAAATCCTTGAAGTTCTTGAGAGTCCTGTCCTGTTTGAGGCAGTGAAGGTAGTGGTGAACTTTGATCCACCAAACCGTGAAGAGGACGGCTATGTGCAGCTTGAGCTCCTCCGTGAGTAAAGCGCGGGCTTTTGGACTTGCAATGTAATGCAGGTGCTTTTGTGGTGTCTATGGAGATAACAGAGACCATACTGTAAAAGGACTCCAAGCCGGCTTGCGACTTAGGAATGCTATTTTCAGATAAATCAAGGTCTACACATTTTCAAGGAGGATTTCTCCTTCATGAACCCATTCTTTCTACGAATCCATTCTTTGTGAAACGCCAGGACTATGTACACAGAGTTGGCCGCACTGGTCGAGCCGGTCAAAAAGGCGATATTTTTCTGATATTGACAATGGTGTTTTTGGCATGTTTGAATCTATTTTCATGTGTGTTTTCCCGAGTCCCAGGGGAACGTAGTTCAGCATGTTCATTGAAATTCAAATTGAGTTGTGCTGAACCTGTAGGCATAGCCTGGACTCTTCTTACCAGCGAGGATGGTGCAGCTGGGCGCAGCATTGCTCCTTGGCCGTTTGGGCTTCATTCTGTATACGCTTGTCACATCAAAGATCAACAGATATCAAATGGATCAAATCCGGGGGCCATTTTGAGCGCAAGCAACTGTGTCAAGACAAAACTTGCTGAGGCTGAGATATTCAAGCGACTCATTTGCAAGCCTGAGACGGCTGGAGAATCAGTGATCTGCTGTCAATGCCAGCGGGCTCTAATCTACAGCAACTCCACTCATGAAATAGCCTGGCCAGTTACAGGGTGCGGATCTTCCACCTTTGGTCACTTAGGTCTTGAGGAATTTGAAGAATGAAGAATGCTTGTTTAGTCAGTTTTCGAAAGAACATACAATCTTGAGAGTTTAGATTTGAGTTGCCCTAGGCGAATGGGTTTGCCGGTGCCTGCAGAACTCGAGCGCCGTTTGGTAACTTGGCTGATTTGCGACAAGGTCCGAATCCGAAATGAAGACTTTAGAAAACAAGAGCTTGGTGATGCTTAGCGTACCACAATCGGGACACTTCGTTGCCCGTTGCGAGGCATCTGGTGAGCTAAGAAGTGGTGGCCGCGGACGCAGCAGGTTTCCTGGCCACAGACATGATAGATAATGATAAGACCGATAGCCTAGACCAGATTGAGATTAGATAAGGTAGATAGATGGATGGATAGATCGATAGATCGATCGATAGATAGACAGCATTTCCAGCTACTTTGATGAACGGGGGCCCTTGTGTATATAGTGGCAGAAGCAAACACCAAGTGCAGGAGACTGGTCAGTTATGATCAGCTCGTTCCAATGTCTGCGGAGTCTACGATGGCTAAAGCCGTGGCATAACTGTTTGACTTTAGCATTGGCTCTTTTGTGAGGAGCGTTGGCCGCCGCTTTTTGGGACCAGGCCAGGGGTCTCCACGAGATGCTGATTTTTTTTTGGTTTTATTTTGTTTTCTTTGACATTTTCTCCGATTTTCCCCTGAATGGGAAAGCTTCTTTTTGCAGGCATGGACGATGATTTCGATGCCAACGATCGGTCTGAGCTCCAGATGGCAGGGCAAGACTGGGAGTGTACCAGGAGCATTTTTGTGCAAGAATGCTATGTCGCGTCCCTCTGTCAAATCGTGGAAAAAACACGTAAACACCACTTTGTTTTGTGGAAAACAAGGCAAAACAAAGAAATCTCGTTTTGTGTTTTTCTCTGCAACACAGTTTGAATAGGTTTAGTAGCTTTAGGCCTTGCCATCCTAGGTTTGGATCTGGATTTCGTGAGGATTTTGCTCGGACTGTCAATGACTGCCCCACGTGGTAGTTGTCCATCCTCTATGTCATCACTTTGCTTCGGCCAAAATTGCCGTTGTCAAAGGGCACATTCAGAAAGAAACTTCTTCAGCTATGACAGCTATGACTGACTTCATGAACCAGGCCTTTCAAAGCCAATTTACTCGGGCAACCAGGGCAACCAGGGCAACCAGGGATCCAAAGATTTGATCACCTGGCTTTGAGACACGGCCTCGGCCTAGACACCAAACAGCATTGGTCCAGTTTCTACAGCTGGGATCCAATCATACTGCCTTCGAAACCATGTGCAAAAAGCCCTTTGGAAAATACCACCTTTGGTGTCTAGGCGAACAGTTCAAAAACAAGAACTGGTGCCAATTGCCCAGGAGCGTAAGAGGATGCTTCAGACCCGAGGCCGCCGAGGCATTCCTTCTCCGCATTTGCTGGTTCCGAGTGCCATGAAGATTCGGCCGAGTGGAGTGAGTGGAGCCAACGGAAACAGCGACGTTTTCCATCCGAGACCATGTTCGACTGCAGCAGAGTGGCTTTGCAGAAAGGGCAGAGCCCCTGCTTCAGTGTGGGAATGCTCAGAGAAAGGCCGTCCGCTGATCCTTCAATCCCTGTGGTGATTCAGCCCACGTCTTCTAACTCCATAAGTTGGGACGGGCGAAACTCAGTGAAACCCAATCACATTTTTTCACTGCAGAGAGAGATATGCCAAACACTCCATGAGACAGAAGGGAACACTTGCTCAACTCCTGAAGAGATGTCTTGGATGCTGCACTGTGGCTTTGAACCGCACGATTTATTAGATGGGGGGTCCAGGATTGCAACCAATAGATCATCAAGCTGCAGAACAAGATTCACTATGCAGTCTGAGTAAGACCTGTAGAAGCTTATGTCCTTCTTGAGCCTTTCATGCAATGTGTCAAAACATTTATTTTCAACTATCAACTGTTTGCGTTGAATTCTTTTTCGTTTGCACCATGGCAAGTGCGGTTGCCACACAAGATGAGCCGCCTTCAGAATGGAAAGGCCGGGTGGAATCGATCTTGGCATGGGTTCCTTGTCTTTTGTTGTTCTTGCTTTTGTGTCTTTACATCTTTCTGTCGTCTGTCCCATACTGCACCTTGGTCTCGAACTGTGATGGTCTTGCGTTGCACGCTTAAACATCTCGGGTTACTTCCCTTGATTGATTTACTAGTGAACTCCCTCTCATGATCCCAAACATTTTTTAATTTTTCCTGAGTGGATTGGACGCATCTACCTTATATTTGTATGTATATATATATATATATACATACACATACTCTCTCTCTCTCTATATATATATATATGTATATATATATATATTACGAAAGCCAGTCGGTAGGCCTGGCTGAAGTTCTTTCTGCGAGCAGAGTTTAGGGGGTCGGGGGCGGGGCGGAGCGGGCAAAAGTGGTACAAACCTACGTAATTAGGTGACGCTTTCTTTTTAGGTTTTAGAGACGCATGTGCCAGGTAACAATTGGGTGACGGCGGGTTCGATTCTCCCCTGGTCCATAGTTTGAGGGGGCTGGGAAGGGACCAGATTGCTGGAACATAGTGACGAAAGCTAGCTTGCTAGCTGGAGTTGGATTGCTTTAGCAATGATTTTTGGGGCAGACTGGACGCAGCTGCCATGATGAATCATGTCAAACTGTGGACCCCCCTTTCCCCCCACTCGGGCTCAAACCCCGCAGCGTCCATCCCACCGGGTTTCATCTGTGAGCACGCGTTTGCATGCCCACGCACACACATACTATACAAGATGATATTCACCGTGAGTGTTGTGAATGTAATGCAAGACGATATAATGTAATGTAATCTCAAGCATTCTACTGGAATGTAAACTAATGCAATGTAATGTAACAGAAGGTAATGTAATCTGCCCTGATGTAACGTAACTTAATGTAATTTAGTGTCATGTAATGCCTTGTAACGCAAGGTAACATATCGCAATTCAATGTAATGTAATGTATTGTAAAAATGTAGTGAGATGTAATGAGAGAACAACCGCTTGGAGTCTTGCATTCAAATTCCCCAAGATGTCTGCATGAAAAATCATGAAAAGACGTGACCCTGTCTTGGCGAGGAATGGAAGATGCGCATCTTAAGATTCCCAAGCATTTCTTGCTCGATGGATGTATGCACCTAATGTATCAGATTGTAAGACTGGGTTATTGGTAGAGTGGACATATATATATATACACTCCTTATAGAAATATTTACACACATACATACATTAATATATATATATATACATATATATATATGCATAGAAGATACTTCGATATATTCATCATAGACATATGTGCACAATATGTTACGAACAGGAACAGGGAAGGAAAGGCCGAGGGAAAGAGGTTCAATCAGATGGTTGCCAGCTGGCTCAACCGAAGTGCGTTCGGTTGGGGCACTCTGTATTTGGCAAGTAGAGCCCTGGGAGCATATTATTGACGCTGATACGTTAGGATGTCAGGGGGAGGGTTGTGGAATGATTATGGTGCACATCGATGGTAGCTTATTTCAAGTGAAAAAATGACACTCAATACACACCTCTCCTTGCCCAGCTAGCTATCGTCCCCTTCCCTTTGGCCTCAAGTTTGAGGGGGCTGGGAAGAGACCAGATTGCTGGATCAGAGGTGGAAGATTTGGTGGGAAGATACCCATGAAGCCTAAGAAGGACTTTGATGGTGATAAGAGAGAAGGAGGGTTTAGCAGGTATTCAATGCAGGCTGATTGTGGACCATTTGGCCACCTTTGCTGGGCAAATGCCGACCCCGGGTTTCGAAACTGACCCTTTCCAATTGAAAACTAACCTTTTAAACTTGAGCTGAAACTTCCTGACCGCATCCACAATCAGCTTGCATAGTCCCAGCATAGATCCAACACGGGCTCAAGTTTATCCCAAGTTCGCCAAAAATATGCCATAAATTTGCTTCACGTTCACTCCGAGTTCCACGCGCATTTCAGCCCCTTAAACCATCATCAAAATGATATTAAAATGCACATCAGCATTGTAACACCTCGCAGCATTTAAGCAGGCTTCAGTATATAGGCTTTAGTGACCTCTCGAAACCATTCTCTCGCCTTGCGAGGACAAAGACTGCTTACCTCCCTACCAACACCGGGCCTTCGTTTGCCCCTTCTCAGGTATATACA